TCCTGCCATGTCATTATATATACTAGTATTAATTATTTAGTTAATTTGTACCTTCTATTTTTATTAGCTAGATTCTATTTTTGATTGCATATTGATATGGAAACAAAAATCCGTCGAAAGTACTATATTAAACAGGCTCTATTTTAGGCTAAGTTTATATATGACAGGTATTCTTAGACAAAAATACAATGTGTTTTAATTTCTATAACAATTAAATGTTATAGTATACGTTTAGGCTTAGAATTATGTGTGAGAATTATATGTTTTAATTCCATTATAACAATTAAATGTTATCGTATACGTTTATACGTTTAGGCTTACAATTTAAAAAAACAGGCTCTATATTTAGACTATTTTACTTAATATATATACTCCGTATTAAATTTCTATGAATATCCATCTTCATAAGATTACTAGTTTTTCAACGCGCGTTGCGCGTTGAGGATAATGCCCAATACCATTCAAATATTTAGAAATCTAACAAGATCATCTAGTCTTCCATACAATAGTTATCCCAGAAACACACCAAATGTGTTTCTAAGAAGTTTAAAATTATAATGATGGTGACATTAGTACATTACACATAATTATAGGTGAAACCATTCCAATCCAAAGGGTGAGACTTCTTAGGAGTTAAGACTAAGGACCAAAGAGTTTGGGGGAGAAATATTGAGGTCCATTTTACTAACATTTAAGCGACATTTAAGCGTGATCGATAAAATTGGCATCAAATCTATTCAACGTTAGAGGAATTGGACTTGAGGATATCTCTTATTTCACCCAAGTGAAGAATGCAATCAAGCATAAAATGATTCTTTGATGTGGTGCAAAATGTACGTTATCTAAAAGTAGTACAACGTATTAAATTCCCGAGACGGAGAAGTTGTAGCTAGTAAAGAAATGAGGAAATGGCAGGACAGTCTCATCTTGAATAAAGACACAATAACAAATAATTTGACCAATGCCAAAATAAGAGTTATTTAGAAATATTTACTCCGTTGTAGTTTTATTTTAAGCAATATTTATCCAAGAATAAAGTGGTGAAACTATAATTTTGTAATTCAGCATATGACATGTCTAGGAGTCACCTTTGAGATAGATGATTGTTCCCTGTAAACAAACCCATTAAAACAAATAGATCAAAACTCTTTAAATTGTGTTAGAACTGCTTGGATGTTCTGCTATTTTCTCCTCATTCAACTGTGTTACAGCATCATATGGAACCATCATGATTAGTGTCTGGATAAACATTGACATTGTCCTGAAGAAGACCCCAAAATGTCTAGGCTAGGTCCAAATATTCCCTAATCACCCAAACTTTGGGAAACTGCACATATAAAAACAAAACCTAAAATTTAACCAATCAACAAATACAAAAGAAATAAAAATGATTAGAAGTATTATACAATACACTATCAAGTTTATTCTTGGCATGTGTTCGACCTTGGCAGAATTTAACATCAGAAAGTTCATACTGAAAATTGAAAAAATGATATTTGGTTCACATAAGAGAGGGAAGAGAAGAAAAAAATAAACAATAAAATATATTATTTTCGGTTGTAAAAATACATGTTAGATTTAGAAAGTATAACAATGAAGCAATCATCAAATTAACCGAATTGTGAAATTTATACCCTCCAACCATTAGCTAAACAACGACTTAAGATACATGGATAAAAACCTGAAGGTGCACTTGAGCGAAGCAGAGGCTATCATCCAGAGGTCGTTTGATCGGAGTAAGAAAGTGAAGAAAAACTTTGAAAGTGGGTCTCTCTCAGAACAATCTAAAAGAATATGTGAGGAAATCGAGCAAATAGCAAGGTGAGGTTAAAACACCATTGGCAGCACCTGGATGATAGCGGAGGTCCGACTCATGAGCCGCTAGCAGAAGAAGAAAATGAATGGGTATTCAAGCATATGATAAGATGCGGAGATGTAACGAATAGATCAATGACGGAAAGAAAACGGAAAGTTAAGGCTCTTTAATAACACAGTACACATGGTAAAGCATAGTGTACCACTCTATTAAGCTATATGATTACACCAACATTTTTTACTCCGGCCTTGCGCCAAGGATGCCCCTGTCTTTAGATCCTTCACAATAAAGGAATCAGGTAAGAATTCAATGGAAGTATTATTTTGTTTACAAAATTGGTTGACTAAGATAAGGTTTTGACGAATAAGAGGAGCACACAAAACGTTATTAAGTATAAAGTGTTTATCAGATGAAACAAGACCAGTGGTTCCAGTATGTGAAATTGGAACACCATTGCCGTTACCCATCATAACCGAGTCACTACCATTGTAGTCAGAATGGATTGTCAGGTTGTTTAAATCAGAAGGAATATGATGAGTTGCATCAGTGTCCAGTAGCCAGTTAGCATTGTTACCGGAATTGTGAGACCCATCAGCTACGTGTGCCGTGGGTGAGGGTGCACGCATGGAGTAGCATTGACGAGCAGTATGGCCGTCTTTGTCACACAACTGACAAATGATTCGTTGAGAATTGAAGGAAGATTCATTTTGATAAGTGAAGACTCTACCATTCTGTCGAGAGCGACCACGTCCACCACGACCGCGATCCCCTCGACCACGATAGTTGTTATTTGAACCACGCCTTTGTGTGTAATTTGCTGTGATAGATGTGTCAGAGATATCACCCGCGGCTAACATTTCTACATGGAGAAAGTGACTACGCAGAGCCGCAAAGGGAAGTGGGGTTTCTAGTACACGCAATGCTCCTGTTGTTTCTTTAAATTCTGAGCCAAACCCAGTAAGAATGTAGGACATGATTTGTCCATCTGGAAGAGGATGTCCAATGGTGATTAGATCATCAATGAAACCTTCCATAATAGTAAAGTACTCCATCACAGTTTTGCCGGCCTTCTTTGTTGTTGCAAGGCTATTAAGGAGAGAAAGCATTCGGGTGGTGGATTTGGCGACAAAACTAGCGTCTAGTGTTTGCCATGCTTCTGCAGAGGACGTGCAACTGTTTATGATGGGACTAACGGTGCTCGAGACGGTGGACTGGATGGCCAGTAGAACAAGGCGGTCTTGCCTTATCCATAAATTGTACGCCGGTGAGGTGGATTCCGGTTTTTTATGAGTGTCGTCCACATAGCCAATAAGGTCATACCCAAAAAGAAGATTGGTGATTTGAGCTTTCCATGAAGAGAAATTGCTTCCATCTTGAGAGAGTTTGAAATGTATTTGGGAAGGGGCATTTAGAGATATAAGTTGTGGACTTGAGTTTGCATCCAGAGAAATAGAAGATGATGACCCAGGGGTGGCCATTTGGAAGTGAAAATAGAGAATAAAGGATTTTAGTTCTGAATGGAACCGGCAGTGACCAATCACTGGGGCTCTGATACCATAAAGGAAGAAATACTTAGCACAAATAATATGCAGAGACTTAGAATTTGAAGGTTGATTATTATCTCATACGTACATGTATTTATACTAGCTATACAGCGTATACTAAACTAGGTTGTTGAGAGATCCATATTTAGTGGAGACTCCCGTAGGATTTTAAACCTACCGTAAGACTAGGTATAGTTTAACAATAATACATGTCATCAATATTATCTAATACAAAATAATAATAACATGATATTATCTAACAAGTACGAGGACCAAATTGACAAGTTTCCCTTCAAACTATTAATATCTTTTTACTTTTTGAGGGCCTTTTACAATTTGAGGCCCAAGACAGTTGCCACAAATTGTTGTTTCAAAATACTCCACCCTTTTCATTCAGTATATAGGTTGAGTTTCAACCTCCTGAGCCGTTTTTGTCGCTCCGCAATTGGTGGTGGGTACAATCCCGTGGAAACCATGCCAGCTAAATGAACCACATTAGACAAGTAGTATGTAATAGACTCCGCTGAGAAAAGTGATAGTAAAAAGGATTGAACTCGTAATCTCTAAATCAATCTCATTTGTGACTTGTAATCTCATTAGTACTATAATAGTTTAACAGTTTCTCTGAGAAACTATTTTATTTATTTTTAGAGAAATAGTATACATGTTACATTTAGGGAGTATTTGAGTTTTGAGATATTACAGAAAAAAATTACTAGTAGAAGTTATGCATGTTTGAAAAGAAAAATTATTTCTTACAAAGTAAAAAGAAAAAAATTAATTATAAAGAGGAGTACCAAATCAAAGATTACTCAAATTACAAAGCCCTGGCAACATAAGAGAATCCTATTGCATCAAATTTCAAGATATTGATAAACTTAGAAGTTTGAGAGTTGTTGCCTTCACTAATGTATCGTTCTGCACAGTTGACTGCCTTGTTAATGACTTCGAGGGAGATATATGGTTGATCCAAAATTCTTCGAATCCGGGTAATACTGTAAATGTCATTCCGGTATTCAACACAATGCGTCATAATTACTTGGCCGACCTTCTTGTCACCAATTCAGATGGAATCCATCGCCCAAAATTTATTGCTACGAAAAATTAAGAAGTGTAAGATGTAGCTTATAAGTGATTCAAATTAAACACCATTGTTCCTCTTCAAACTTAATTAATTCAATTTTAATAATTAAAATTTACATATTTAGAAACTATATTAAAAAACGATAAAGTTGTAAAATTCAAATAAAAAATAAATTAAGAATTGATAATCTAATTAAGTGAATAAAATTAACTTGTTTGACTAAAAAAAGTAAAAATAATGAAATAGTTGATATTGAATTGTAAAATAGCACATTAATATGATTTATTAAGTATTTTAGTTTAAAGTTTATCAAAAGTCAAAGAATGGCCTCAAAATTGTTTTCGTCTAAACATATGCGAATAGTTCACCTCAAAATTATAAAAGGTTATACAACGACAACTTCATGTTCATTATTCTATATTGTTTTGTTTGTGCCCTTAATGGCATGATTGTTAAATTCATAGGAGTACAATGATGAAAATTCTCTCTTTCTTTTTAATTTCATGGGGACACATTAAGGTTATGATGATAATGAATATATGTATGATGCATGCAGATAGAGATTACATGTAGAGGGCAAGAGCTATTACCTTCCTTAACATTGCAACATGTAAGAGATGAGATATGGATGAGAAATTATCTTTTACATCCAAACCTCTTAACTTTTGTTGCTACTAATCATCATGTTATGGTGCTACTCTATGGTAGAAAATAACCAAGTGCTTAGATATTGTCATTATTACATAGATATTGTTATTATTGTAAAAAAAAATATCATCATGATCATTATTTTTCTTATTGTAATAATATTTTTTATTTTAATATTCATGTAATATATATTAATGACACGCTGAACAATTGATCTCCTCTTTTTTAGTCCTCCCTATTTACAAAATGATATATTTTAATATGGCAGGTACGTTTTCAACTTCCTATGTTACTCAGATTAAAAATAACGTTTTGGAAATTTAGAAGTTTTCGAAAATGAATAAATTACTTATGTGAGGCTAAAAATCTTTAGAGATAACATGATCAGAATCGGACTAAAATTAATAACGAGTTGGATTTTTTTTCCCAAAATAACGCTAAATACAAAATTATATACGAAATTAAGGTCGGATTAAAATAATTTACCAAAATAATGTTGGAATAAACTGTGGTTAATGAAAACCGCCCAATGGTTTGGGGACTTTGGTTTGTTGTCGATACTCGCGCAAGAAGAGTAGGAGGATTATGAGGCAGCCAATAAGACTCATCAAAAATTGAAAAATCCCTCTTTTTTCTGAATTGTTATAACTTGTATATTTATAAGCAGATTTTGATAAAAATTATATCACAATTTATAAATTTTTATTATCTTTCATATGACACCAATATTCAATATATAAAAATTAAAATAATTTTGAAGATATGATGACTAGATGTTTTTTAGCCTACAAACATTTTTAAGTAGATCGATGTTCTAAAATTTAGACCTCGTAATTTTTTAGAGTCCGTTTGATAACGCTGGAATTGATTGAATTGATTGATTATGTTGAAATTTAAAAAATTCTGATTGAAGTTGCTAGATTGACTAATTCTGTTGATTCATGAAAAAATTATATGTAAGATATTTTTTATTATTAATATAAAAATAATTATATGAAGAAATAGTTGAAATAATTTTCTACATTTATTTCAGCCAATACAGTCAATAAAGTCACTTCAAGATTACTTTTTCTTATTATTACACAACTCAACGCCCGAAATCAAAAGTGGTTTATGTGGTGTATATTGAATTGATAAAGTAAAAATAAAGTAAGAATGATTTAGAACCACACAAACTTTACCAATTTTGGTATGGGACAATCTTAGTGGGACGGACCGAAAAGATAAAATGAGACAATCTTAGCGGGACGGAGGGAGTATATCGAATATTGGTGCCATATGAAAGATAATAAAAATTTATAAATTTTGATAAACTTTTTGGGAAAATCCAATTATAAATGTAAAAGTTATAACAATTTAAAAAAATGAGGGATTTTTTAATTTTTGATGAGTTCATATTGGCTGCTCATAATCCTCCTACTTCATACATAGCCTGCTTCTTGCGCAGTTGCGCTAGTAACGACCGCAGACCAAAGTTGCCAAACCATTTGGCGGTTTTCATTAATTAGGGATTATTCCTGTTCATATTCCAAACTATTTTGGTAAATAGTTTTAATTCACCATAATTTCTTAAATAATTTTTTATTCAACATTATTTTAGAAAAAAACTCGCTTCATTTCAGATCGTTAGCATTTTTTATTTCCAGGTTTCAATAATTAAGCATGTTCTATTGCGTGTATTACCATTAATCTTATTAATTAATTATTCTGATATTACCATTTATCTTTGAGCTATGCTATATTAACACATTGGGGTGAGTTCAAGTAAAAAGTAGTTTTCCCATGAAAAGTGAGAACAAATATTGGCCTTCTATCACTTGAAAATAGATGAATTAGATGAACTTTAAACACAAGAGACGATTTTAAAAAAATGTGCAAACGTTTATACTATAAAGTTGATAGTTACCGATTAAAAGTGCACTCATGAACTGAGTGTCAAAAAAGATTGTCAAAATTTTTCAGCATGTGCACTTTTTATTTTGTACTGTATAACACTTTTGTGCTCTACGTGTGCACTTTTTGACTATTCTGATGCACATTTGTCACAATATTTTCAATAAAAGTTCTTCATAATTACAAAAATGTCACAACGTTTCCAACTTAAAAATTGATCTATTCCATCCATTTTTTCACATCAAGGCCAAGATTAATTCTTACTTTTGACCTAGGAAGTACTTTTTATTTGAACCAAACTCTTAATTAACACGTTTATGTATTTATACAACTTTTCAACTTTTTTGTTTTTTTGAAAGAACATTTTTTTCCCAACTATATACATTAACTTTTCACATGTTTTCTTAAACTATACGAAATATATATTTTAATGTGATGAAGTATATAATAATAAGCATGGAATTCTACATTCACTTGAGTTGTGCTTTGGGTCAACTAGTCCTTTGATCTTGAGCTCATTGTATTGAACAGTGAAGATGATTCAATCTAGCTCGATTCTACATATTTAGCACGATTAGGTCAATCTACTTACATTACGCCGCGTATTAGTTCTAAATATCTTAGAATTCCTCTAAAGATAAATGCTCAGAAATAGCACTTGCGCATCAATGTTCACATGATATAATGAATGTTGAAAGTTGACACAATACCACGATAAAAGATAGTAATTCCATAGCACAATAAACTTGTCTATCAGATGAAAGACACTGTATACATTATAATATTAATATAATAGAACAGGGCCGTCTACTGGGCTGTGCAAACAGTGCTACTGCACAGGGCCTACAAATAATGAAGGCCCATATTTTTTAAAAAATCATTAGTATATATATATGTGTGTATATTTATATTTAATATGAGAGGAAACTTTATGTCCAGCCGGCCTGACGGGAACCGCCGTCTGGCCGAGGGTAGTTCGGGCACTTCCCGATCGAATTTTTTGATGAAATTTTTTGAGCATGTTCTTCATCAAGTCTAGTTTATCCATACCAAATTTCATCTCAAAATTCGATAGGGAAGGCATTCAAATCATTTTTTGAAGTTGAGTGGGTTTTTATATGTATATTTTGACGCAGTCAACTTCAAAAAATGATTTGAATGCCTTCCCGATCGAATTTTGAGCTGAAATTTGGTATGGATAAACTAGACTTGATGAAAAACATGCTCAAAAAAATTCATTAAAAAATTGGATTGGGAAGTGCCCGAAATGCCCTCTGCCGGAAGGCGGATTCCGTTAGGCCGGCTGGACAGGAACGAGACTCTTTAATATAAACTCAAGAGCCCCACTAAGAAAAACGTAGTAGTAATAAAGAAAGAACCAACGTACCTTATGTACGTGGATCAAGTTTGAAAACCCAACTTGTAAGAGTATCTAGTACGGAGTATTACGATACTCCAGTTTATGCAGATACAATATCAATGTGTAATACTCCTTAACATTTTGTCCATGACCAGTAATATAATAAGGCCTACTTTTTGTAATCTGCACAGGGACCTTATAAACTTGAGACGGCCCTGTAATAGAATGTCTAACACCCTTATTACGTTACATCATCATCGTAACTAAATTATGTTTCAAGTTTTTTTTTTTAGGATTTGAAGTACTAAACATTACTATATCGGGAATTTCCATTTTCGTTTCACTCTAACAATATGTGCATCAATGGTGACTACATATTCACGTACAATAAAAGTATCCAAACAATAGGAACAATGATGAGAAAGAAATCTAACTCCAAAACTATGTACTACCTCCGTCCCAATTTTGGGCTCAAATATTAAGAAAGTGGTTGAAAAGGTAAAAATTGTGGTTGAGATTTGAGTATAAAAAGGTGAAACGATGTGGACCACATATTTCTTTTCAAAAAGGGAAATGTGACTATCAATTTGGGACGACCCAGAAAGGAAATACGGGATCATCAAATTGAGACGAAGGGAGTAGCATTTATGATGTTATTGATTCAGGGTTAATTAATAGGGGGGAAAGGAAATCCATAAAATAGATATGGAAAAAGAGAGATACCGGTGGGCGTAGCTCAACTGGTAGCGAGGGAGTGCCACAAGGGTTAGGTCTCGGGTTCGAATCTCGGCAACTGCGATGAGGGGTTACTATGCTGAAAAATGCATAGGGCTTCTGCAAGTACCGGGGACAGAGCCCCACTCTCTATCTGTCAGATTGTGATTATAGTCCAATTTACATCCTCTCATCGTGCCGTCCGGTCAGTTTTGGGGGGCCCTCAGGGATGGGGTGTCATCCTTTTTTTTTGGAAAAAGAGAGATAACATATTAGGGTTCTTCAAGTCAAGAAAGTCCTATCTATGATTTGACGATGGTTGAGCACATTTTCCGCCTTGATCTAAGGGCATTAATTCCCATATCGTTAAGAACCTCCAAAGATAGCATATGAAGCACTTCATCATCTACCTCATGTATACAAAAAAAGTGAATTATCTTCCAAGTCCAAGGCGCTAAGCCCAATGAACCAGTCTCTACTCTCTAACCCCAAAACTTCTCCACAATACAGTTTATCATCATCATTATTATCTCATGTTTTCAGAATGTATTGCCCTATGGTCCCAATACTCAAAACTCATATGCCTCAGAGTCAAATATTACTATCATATAAAGAGCGTTTTGTAAAATTGTTCATTGATATTTATTTTGAAATATATTTCATGATGCACTTATTTTTGTATTTGGTACTCATTATATAAATATGAAGTAAGTCATCTCTCTAAGAAGAGATATTAATCAAAATAGGACTAAAAGAGTTTGAAAATTCTAAAATAGGACTGTCATGTTTTTTATTCCTAAAATAGGACTAACTACTCCCATGTTTTGGCAGTATCAGACTTCAAACATGACAGTATTTTCCAAATTTGGCACTAATTACTTCTATTTTGGGAATAAAAACATGAGAGTCCTATTTTGGAATTTTCAAACCTTTTTAGTCCTATTTCGGGAAAATTCCCCTCTAAGAAAAGATAATACCTCATAATCTCATATATGTCACAACCAATCAACTATTGAGACACAAATCAAAAGACAAAGAACGATTCGAAAATGAGTTTACGAGACATCTTTATTCAACATGATTAGTAAAATAAAGGATAATAAACCAAATAAGGATGT